TCTTCCTTTAGGAACTTTTGATGTACTTATAAATCCTTTTAATGCTGCATGATCTGTTATTACTTTAAATTTTCTTCCAAATAAATATTTATGAAAATATTTTATTCCCCAAAATACTGCTAAACATTCTAATTCTGTTATCAGATACCTCTTTTCTGCATTTACTAAACTTCTACTTGCATAACTAATAACTATTTCTCTATTATTTTCATCTAATTGTTCTAATATAGCTCCTAATCCTTCTCCTGATGCATCTGTTATTAATATAAATTCTTTTTCAAAATTTGGATGTTGTAATATCGGATAATTTATTAATTTTTCTTTTAATTCTTCTAATGCTTTTTGTTGTTTATCTGTCCATACAAAAGGAACATTCTTTCTCGTTAATTCCATTATTGGTTTTACTATTTTTGAATATCCTTTCACAAATTTTCTATAATATGAACATAATCCATTTATTTCTCTTATTTGTTTGATATTCTTTGGCGGTTTTAAATTTTTAATCTTTTCTATTTTCTTATCATCTGGTTTTAACCCATCTGTTCCTACTATATGTCCCAAATATTCTACATTCTTTTTCGCCCATTCACATTTCTTTAACTTTAACATCATATTCGCTTTTCTTAATTCTTCTAATACTATTTTTATATGTTGTAAATGTTCATTCCAATTTTTCGAATATATTATAATATCATCTATATATACGTTCATAAATTTATCTAAGTATTCTTTAAATATTTTATTCATTGTTCTTTGAAATATTGCCGGTGCATTTTTTAATCCAAACGGCATAACATTAAATTCATATAATCCTTGACTACAAATAAATGCTGTCTTTTCTTTATCTTCTTCTTTCATCTCTATTTGCCAATATCCACTTGCTAAATCAATTGTTGTAAACCATTTTGCTACTCTAAATTTTTCTAATAAGTCATCTATTCTTGGCAAAGGATATGCGTCTGTTATCGTCATTTGATTTATTTTTCTAAAATCTATACAAAATCTCTTATCTCCTGTCTTCTTATTCACTATTACTACTGGTGATGACCATGGACTACATGATTCTTGTATTATTTCTTCTTTTAACATTTTATCTATTTCTTTTTTTATTATTTCTCTATTTTCTGTACTTTCTCTATATGCTTTTTGATTTATTGGCGTTTCATCTTTTAACCTTATATTGCATTTTACTATATTTGTTTTACTTATTTTTTTATCTCCATATATACAAATATCTTCATATTCTTTAACTAAATCTTTTAACTCTTTCTCTTGTAATTTCTCTAAATCTTTATATTTTATTTCGTCTGTCCAATCTTTGTGCATCTTTAATGTCTCTCCATTATTATGGCCAAGACCTAATAGTTTTCCTCTATAATATGTCCTTTTTCTTCATTATTTATTAAATATATTTCTCGTTCACTTGTTTCTTCATATTCATTTTCACTATCTTCATCTTCACTATCATCACTATCATTATCATCATTAATATTTTCGTCATTATTTTCATATTCTATTGGTATTTCAATATCTTTTCCATCTTCTCTTAATATTAATATCTTTTTATTATAATTTATTATTCCTTCTTTTTCTCTTAATACATCATTTCCTAATATTAATTCTTTTTCTACTGATTCAATTAGGGGAGTGACACATATCACGTAATTATTAAAGGGGGGGAAGGGGTTCGCAAATATCTCATTTGTCACGTGATATTTATTTATAGTGGCCAGAATTAGTTTTCTGGTTCGTAACTCTAGCGAAAATTAAAAACAATAATTTGCCAATAAAATTCTTTTCATGTGATTTATTAATGTTATTTGTTTTATTATAACAGTGTAACGTATTACATACACATCTTTGTTCTTTGTTTTAAGTCGTGTCGCACCACCTCTTTTAGTTTATTTTCAAAAAAAATAACTACGAAACATTTAATTTTATTAGTCTTCCTCCTACAGTCCTACCCGGCTTAATTCCAATGTTAAAACCTGTACCTACAAAAAAAAAAGCAAATAAGAACGTTAACAAGTGTTCTTATATAATAAAACAAATATTCCTCTTCTAAAAACTTTTACCTGGTCTAATTTTAAAATTTAAAGTTGGCACACCTCTTTATTCACCTTCTGATTGTATTTCCCGATCATTTATAATTAAACTCGTACATCACACGCAGGTATAACTGAAAAATCGTCAATGGAATTAGTAAATAGTTTTTTTTTGGCTGGTCGTCCTCGTCATTTTGGATGTTGAATTTTTTTATGTTGAGCAACCATAGAAAGCGTTGGAAAATACGCATCACATTCAGAACAGCAAAGACGTTCATAAGTGTCTGCATTAATTGAAGGACAGTGGGCATCATTTCCAGGTATTTTGAGCTTGTCACAATATTCTAATATATGAAGCAGGTTTAGGAAATGCCCATCTTTTCACTTTGTTACAGGTGGGAGAAATCCATCATTTTCTGCAAGAAGAACGGCTGCCTCCTCATGACGTTTAGGTGAACAACAGGAAGAATCCTCGCATTTCTTAATATCAAGTGAGTATTGACATATTTTGATGTGATTTTCTATCCATTGCCAAGGTACAGCTGATTCATTTATATTTTCAGATCCAGGAAATAGGATATCATCGAATGGAGAATTTTTTTGGTCAGTATATTGCGCAATAACTGGTTTCCCAAAAATAGGATCACGTTTCCAAAAAGTACACAATGCTTCACCAGCATAACGAAAGTTCTTCATTGCTAGCTCCAAATCCGTTACTTGACCTTGGGAGTTAAGGTGGGAACCGAATTTATCAATCGGTAGTGTTATGCCAGCCAGTTTTTGAGAGAGTGTTGACATACTACGCTCAACAGGATTATATGCTGATTGTCCAGGTGCATGTGTCCGAACGGATAGATAGTCAAGATCAAAATTACAGAACATTTTACAATATTGAAATATATTCTTCATATGGCGGGGATTTTTATCTGGACCTCCATCAACTAAAAGTATCCAAATAGGTTTGATTTGGCCGTTGATTTTTAATATCCCATCAAATTGGCTATCTTGAATTAGCGAGTTAAAATCACTCATATGGGTACTTGAGCTTGTACCAACATGATATTGTGGACGTACAAAAATTGAAAGTTGACTGTTGCGGAAAGTATTATTCGTATCACTCAGATTAATTAGTAAGTAAACTGATGGGATAAGTTTTTGCTGCATACCGACTGGAAAATCATGATCGGGTAATGTAACTGGCTCTTGAAAACTTTGTATAGTTTGAAACGTTCTTCCGACTGCAGGAATACCTAGAGGAACCTTGACTTTATCGTCCTGAGAAATGATTACGGAATGGGTTGAAAATAATGCCGCGAATTGTTTTGCACCTTTCACAGATGCAAGACAATAGTGTTCATCAATATGCTCATTTTTTTCAGTTCGTGAAACTGAGGCATTTGCAACAAGAGCTGGATGGTGATGTGTCTTTGCTGCTTTAGTATTTGATCGAGATGGTAGCAAGTAATTGTTGAGAGTGGTACGTGAAAGGTATTCATTATATTTTGAATTAAGATTCTCTCGAAGATGACGAATGGTTCTAACTTTAATAACTTCTTTTCTTCTTTTTTTATCTGCAGCTCCAAACTCAATACATTCGTGTATATGTTCATGTAAATTGGGATATTGAATTAAAAAAGATGGACGACCAGGTAAATCATATTGAATTACTTCTTGGTGCTCTTGTAGATGCTTTATTTTTTTTGCTCTACATTTTCATTGATATCCTGCATGACGTTTCAATTTTTTAATCTTGTTATCCTCATCATGTAGAATTTGCTTGAGAGTTGCCATAAGTTCCAATAAATTATTCCGAATCTCCAAATCATTAGTAGAATTATAAATTTGCTGAAGTTAAGCAAGCTTCATGTTAGTTGCATTAATAGTTTCTGCAGCTTTTTTCTGTGCAGCAGCATTAGGAGGTGGAGTGGAGTCAGCTATAATAATTTCTTCAATAGGACTTTGAAGGACTTGGTTAGTTTGAGTGGGCTTTAAACTTTGAGATGAGCCAGGTAATGACAGATTAATTTGCATAAAACCTTAGATAGGGATTGGGGTTGCTAAGTATTCACTAATTTTACTTTCAATATCCTCCTTAGATTTATGTCGAAACTCCTTCCACGCATTATTACATTCTATGCATAGACTAATTTTTGGGTATGCAGGATTTCTTGTATTTACCATACGATGATATCCAAAAGCATTGCAGAACCTCTGGTATGGAGTTGTAGGGGTCTTATAAATATAAAATTTGTTATATTTCGGTGTAATTAGAAAAACCTGCATGTTGAAGTTTTGGATATAAAATTTTTCAGACATGAAAATTAGACACGAAAATTTTAATAATCATTTTTTTAAGTCACGTTAGATGTACGATCATCATGTATATCAAACTCTAGATTTTTTTTTTGTAGTATATTGATAAAAAGTACTTATTAAATCAATGCATACTTATATTTCCATAACTCCAAATTTTCCTGTCATTTTCTTACAAATTACAAATTCCATAAAAATAAATATTCCAAAATAGTTTTTAATACATTATGAATCAAAAATAAATATTTCAGTGTTTTATTTAAAATAAAAGTAGAGTATCGTATTTCTACATTCATTTAGATGTTTAATATTAATTGAAAAAAAAATTTTTGAACGAGATCAAAATGNCCTACATCATCTGAACTTTCTAGTTCTCCTATGTCACTTTGTTCTTCAACAAAACCTTTTGTTTCTACTATTTTCTCTATTATCTTATCTGTTAAATCATCATTCATCCATGGTTTTGGATATTTATTTCCATCCCACCATTGATATGTTATACTTTTCTGAAACTTCTTGATTTTCTCTCTATTTTCTTCTTCTGCAATATTTTCTTCTAAATGTAATATTTCTTTAAAATTTCTCATAGTACTATATCCTTTATCTGTCTCTTATACACATCTAGATGTGTATAAGAGACAGCTTCACTTCTCATTGCTCTAGTTTCACTTTTATTATCTGCACTTTTTATTTGTTGGTCCGAGTGTAGTCATGCATTATCATCTTCATCATAATTTCTAGCTATTCTTCTAAATTTTGGATTTTCATTATAAATTTGTCCATATGTTATATTTGCTTTTTCATTATACATATCCATTACATATTTTTCTGGTGGTACATTAACTCGTACTCTAATATTTTTATTTCCTCTTTTCATTCCTGGATTTGAACATTCTTTTATAAAATGACCTCTTAATCCACATCTTTCACATTGGTTATATCTTCTTCTTGATCGATATGCTTTATCTCTATCTTCTTTATTAGAAAATCCTCTTTTTCTTTCACCATCAATATCCATTTTTATATCATATTCTCTTTTTGGTGGTATTGGAACATCTTCAATTTCCATTTCGATATCTTCATTATCTAAATCTCTTCCATATTTTCTACCACTTCTTAAAGTTGGAAATATTTCTTTTTCATACTTATATGTTTCGTAATCATTATAATAATTACCATTATCATAATTTCTATTATTATCGTAATATCTTTCGTGATCCATTAAATTTATATTTCTATTATCATTATTATTTCTTCTTTCATTATTATTATTTCTATTAAAATTATTTTGCGTTCTATAATTATTCTTCGTCTTAATTGTGGACATTCTGGTCTTATATGACCTTCTTCATTGCATTCATAGCATCTCATAATTCTTGCATTTCTTGTATTTGCATTTCTATTTATATTTCTTCTTTGTTGATTTTTTATTTCATTCAACGTTTCTCCCATAGCTATTCTTTCTGCTCTAAATTGTTCTAACGCTTTACTTAATTCATCAATATCTTTTTCATTAACTGGCTTTTGCATCTTTCTATATATTTCATTTTCTTCTCTTTTATTCGTTCCTTCTTTTAAAATTTCTTCTATATTCTTTTCTTGACTTATTTGTTCTATATTTATACCTGTTGTTTTCCTTATCAATTCATTTTTGGCTTCTTCTTCTCCTCTTGCCGTTTTAATTGCATCACTTAAATCTGTTGGATTACTTCTTCTAACTTGGTACCCCAATGTAGGTTCTAATCCTTAGATATAATAATTTACTTGATATGTATCATGTAATGCTTGACCTCTAGTTGCAATTCTTAATATTGACCTAAATCTTCCAGTATATTCTTCAACACTTTCATTTTTTTCTTGTTTAATCCTTGTCAATTCTATCATTTTTCTTCTTTTAACATCTTCTCTAGTAAATCTATTAATTAATTTATTTTTCAAATTTCTATCATCATTATGATCACACCAGTTTACTAAATTAGCTGCTACTCTTTCTTTTTCTTCATTATACCATTGTAATGCAGTTCCTCTTAAACATGTTATTGCTACATTTGCTTTATTTTAGTTGCATACACCTCCCCCAACATTTCCTTCTACTCTTCCACTTACTGTAAACGCTACTTCAAATTGTCTAATCCAGTCGTTAACATCTTCATCTTCTTTTCCACTAAAAATTGGCATACCTACTATTCCTCCCATTCCTGCAGTTTGAATTCTATCTATTAAAGTTTGCCCTGCTCCTAATGCATTATCTAATGTATTAGGTGCGAGTCCTATAGCATTTTCTACTATTCTCTTTATTTGATCTTGATTTGCCATATTTAACAATATATTCTCTTGAAATAATTCTTGTAAATTATAATCAGATATTTCACTTTCGTTATCAGAATTTTCAATATTTAATGAATTATTCGAATCTGAATTTTGACTTAGACCAAAACCTTCTGTATTTATAACATTTTCGTTTTCGCTCTCATTAAAACTTCTGGTATTTTCTTCCCAAATCTCATGTTCTTCTGGATCTAATATTTCTCCAATCTTTTCTGAATCATCTGTATCATCATTTTCTTCTTCAACTTCTTCTTCACTTTCTTCAATTTCAAATTTCTTTAAATATTCATTTAATATTCTCTTTATTTCTTTTTCTGATTCATTTTTATATTCTTGAAATTTTCTTATAAAGTCTGCACTTAATATATCAACATCTCTATATCCCATACTTATTAATCTTAATAATTCTCTGTCAGAAACTTCAATTTCTAAAATTTTAATTAAATTTTTTAACTGTTCTAATCTTTTCTCTATTTCTGTTTCATCATCTAATTTATTCTCATTTTCTAAATTTTCTGGTCCTTTTTCATAACAACTTTTACATATCTTTTCTATAAATTCTTTATTGTATTCTACTGCTTCTATTGCTTCTTTCTTCAATATTATTTTATTACATGTTGGACATTCTATTGTATACATATAATGCCATATTCTTAATTCTTCTTCTATTCCTTTATTATCTAATTCTTCAATAGTTTTGTAAAAACTCATAAATTCTTTAGTTTTTATTATTTCATATTCTACTCCAAAATTTATTATTCGTCTTATTTCTTCAATATCAATTTCATAACCATTCTCTAACCAATAATTTCTATATATTCTTTCCATATGTTCGTCTCCTTCATTTGAACTTGATTCTCCTACATCATCTGAACTTTCTAGTTCTCCTATGTCACTTTGTTCTTCAACAAAACCTTTTGTTTCTACTATTTTCTCTATTATCTTATCTGTTAAATCATCATTCATCCATGGTTTTGGATATTTATTTCCATCCCACCATTGATATGTTATACTTTTCTGAAACTTCTTGATTTTCTCTCTATTTTCTTCTTCTGCAATATTTTCTTCTAAATGTAATATTTCTTTAAAATTTCTCATAGTACTATATCCTTTATTCTTAATGGTTATTGATTCCATTTCTTCTAACCATTCTTTAAATTTTGTAAATCTTATATCCAATTCATCATCTTCTATAATATATCTATACGTTAATAATTCTTTATTCCCTAACAAACTCTCTTCTGTTTGATCATCTAATATAAACTCGTTATCTTCACTGAGTATATAATGTTCACATATTACTTTTATTACTGATATAATTCCTATTTTTCTATAATCTGATTTATTTCTATACCTAATTGACCTTACGACTATATCTAACAATTTTTCTCCTTCTCTTCTTATTTTCTCAAATTCTTTATTTCTTTTCTTTTTACTAGATGGATAACTTTCTTCTCCATCTTTTCTTGTTAATATTATGTACTCCATTAATTTTACATATGTATTTCTATTATAACTCATTGCTTCTAATATTACTTTTTGAAAAATCTTCCAAAATCTTTTAAACCAATCTCCTATCTCTATTTCATCAGTACTATAACATTTTAGGCATGAAGGATCTACTTGATACTCTTCTCTTAATTCATTATGTTCTTCTATTTCATGTCTTCTTTTAATCTCTTCTAATTCATCGTATATATTGGACATTTTTATTTATTTAAATATTTCATAATTTCACTTTTATTTATATTTTATCATTAACTTAACATCATTTAAATTACTATTTTATCTTTTACTTCTTTAAAGTACAATTTAAATTCTAATATTTTCAAAGTTCCAGCTTTGATTCTATAATTTCTCTATACATTCTATAATATAATCTATAATCTATAATCGTGATTTTATTTATAAAATTTCCATATCTTGCGCAAATAAACTGTGATCAAAGCTAGGGATTGTTTATAACTGGGGCCGCCCAGTGTCAGACTAATATGATCACTAACAAAGGCTTATTTATACTGGGTCTTCCCAGTTCTATACACAACATTAAACTTTTAGTAATTTTTAATCTTTTTCTTATATTAACTTCCAAAATATTTATTTCAAATCTATTTCATATTATTTCATTTCTCGCATTTCATTTTATAATTCATTAATATTTTTTTATTATAATTGGATAGCCACGGATTTTTAAGCGATCAACATACTAAAATTTCTGTTGACATAACGCCCCTGGTGACACAACTATTTCTTTTATTATTTTCTTATTCATTTATATTTTTATTAATCAGTCGCCCCTGCCCAAGGGGCAGCTATATATTTCTTTTACTACATCATTATTACATCATTTTATTTCATATAATTCATTATTATCTTTTACAATCTTTCATATCATTCTTTTATTGTAATAAAATTATTTCCCATATATTAAATAATAACATTTCAATATTTCTCATATTTACAATATCCTTTAATTTTCTCTTTCGTTTAGTAACCTATACCGGGCTAACAGGGCGGACATCCTCATATTATCACATTATTGCTGATCATTTTGCCGATCATCTATTTTAATATTATCACATAAAAAATACCATTTTTTTGCAAATTTAACTATATAAATTTTATTTGTTATCAAAATTCATCCAAAGTCCGAAAATTAATGTTTTCAAATCCAAAAATTAACTAAAACCCAAAAATGGGCTGAATTTTAATAATAATTAGAAAATTAAATTATTTTAATGATATTGTGACAACCAGTGATTAAAATTTAATTTTTGTTAGTTTTTTAGATTCATCTCGTCAAGACAAACATTTTGATAGTAATTTCATAAAATTTTTACACTAAATTGATTGAGAAATTGCATTTTGAAAATTTCTATTTATTATATAGATTATAACAAATATAATTGCAAGTATAAATTTAGCCATAACTTCTTGATTACCTAAAATTAGGAATGATTACTTCGGCCATTGATTTTAAATCAGTTAAACTATGACCCATAAAAGTTTCAAGTTTCGGCCAAACTTCTGTGACTTCGGCCGAAGCTTTAAAGTCTGATATC